GTTGGAATTCCAACTTAGATTTCCATACATTAGGACATATTAGGAACAGCATGTCATGTTGGGGGTATTGCCTATAGTTTTAAATGACCATATTAAAAGAATCTGGAATAAAATGTTCAGAGAGATTCCTTTGAAGTGGAGTCTCCCTGACTGGCTACTATATAMATTTGAAGACAGCTATTTTTATAAAAGTAGATATTAGGAGCTGTTCCCATCAGAATCGTGTCCACCCATGCACTGTAGAACATCACATTATCGGGTGAGCAGAAAACGACAAGGTTTGGAACACATTAAATGCTGTCTTGCTGTTCTCACATATAGCAGACAGACAGAGCTATTCCAGGAATGACAGTGGAGAACAAAGGAAGAAATATGTCCTGCTGAGTGAAAGAAGAAACACGACGCATGAAAACTAAAACACTTTGTATACTGCGCTTTTGCTTTGTTAAATGGTTATATATATATATATATATAAACAACTTAAAAAAACTCAGCAGCTGTGGTTGTACATTTCACCACACCGCAGCTAATACGTTTGGAACACAGCAGCACGATGACTGTTTGATCTCTATACGGTCTTGTTCATCATATGGACTAAATATATCTGCTTCTGTTTTTTTTTTCTTTTTTTTTTTGAGTATTGAGGGCAAACGAGTTTAGATTTTTCTGTGATAGCTCTCTTGTTATCTTGTTTGTGTAGTCTTTGGGGAGTTTTTTGGCAGAACTGGGCCAGTTGTGGTACATGTTTCTTTTTCTTCTTCTTCTTTTTATCCCCATTAAACTGGTGCACGTATTATTTTTGGGTCTGTAATTGTACCTTCAGAGCATTCAAAGGAACACAAATTGCCACTAATGAGCTTCTGAAAGCATCAGAACGATCCATCAAACTTTAGGGTCATATTGCAGGGCTTTATTGCAGGGCATCCACGCACAGAGCTCAGAATCAGAACAATGGCAGCTCTAACACTTGTGTCAAAATCAAAATTTAGCTACGAAAAATGAAGTGAGCTAAAAAATAATAAGCACTGACATATGTGCATATAAAGTACTGGTTTATTCTAAAATCATTGAGACAGCTTTCATTCAATGATGACGGTCTTCTGAATTTATTTAGGGGTTGGGGTAAGAGTTGATGCTGCAGAAAGTGAGACTTTTTTACAATTTGGCCTATATGTTACATTTGCATGCAGAGAAAGCATCACTCTGCCTGACGTGAGCTCTTCTTTCTGCAAAAGCCTATAGTGTCAGCCTTCTACTAACGAGTTCAGCTCTAACCAGTTGTACACTAAAACATTACTTTCTTAATCATACAATGGAAATAAATAAGTAAAAGTGTCATTAGCTTTGTAAATCATACAGTTTTGTGCAATTGTTCAAATAGGCAAAGGTGGCAAACACTGTTCTGTCAAAGCATAAAAGTTTTATTTTTAGAGAGGGAAGATTTAACTATATTTGATCCATAAAAGTGGCTTAAAAACAAAATACTGTGAAACCATCTTTTCAAATTTAAGTAAAAAAAATGAAATCCCCTCATTAATCATATTTGGGTGATAACGTGATGCCAGATTTCTAATTGTTATTATTCTGTATAACCTGTAGACAAACTTTCATTTACCAAAAAAGATTTTTAACACCACACGTACTTAAACTTAAAC